AGTGCTCAGCATGAAGTTGAAATGAAAACAAGTTCGGCAGAAACTACTCTCATACGTGCGCACAGATTAGTTTTTTAAAACACTTTGCGAAAGCCAGTTAATAGACAAAGAATGAAAAAGGTTTAATATCATGAATTTCATATTAGTAGGTATTGCGAGGGTTTGCATCATTGAAACCCCACCCACAAGAATGTTAAATTTCAACAAGTGAAAATAATGTCGTGCTGGTGACTGCAAATGATTCTCTAAGAATTTATTTGATGTTACAGTATATGGTATTAATCAGTTTTCTATTGCTTTTTTGTACCACTGAGTAGATGGCTTGGTAAGCCTTTTTCATTTAGCCTTTGCTTTGCTGGTTCTGTTTCTCATAGTGCTCTTCAACGAAGATTTCGAGAATCTCTTCATGACTGAAGGACGTTTACCCATAAATGTTGAATTTGACCTAAATGCGTTACACAATGTGATTACACACTATGGCAATCTTGAAAGGGTTTGATATCCTTTTTCAACTGCTTACTTTTTCTGCCTCTTTTTCTTGTCTTCGCTATCATCATCGTCCTCACCAGTTTTTCTATTGTCCGATGAAGTGGTTTCACTCTCCTTAAGCAGTATCAAGCTTACTATTGTTGAACGTTAGTGCACATCTACATTCAAATACCTCTTCCGTCTTTTTCAATGGCACTTTGCCAATCCAGTCTAGCTGTCTTTGGAAATCAATCTTTCTCTCTTTCGCTATCGCTCTGTGAATAGGTGTATATGTTTTCACTATTACATTTCGCCTGATTTCACTAACTTCAGAGAATTTTCAATATACAGATAGTCGGGCTCATCTCCATATCCCATTCCGTCAATATATTTAATAATCCGTTGAACTTCGAGGGGCACAACTTTGAAAATTTTCGGATATTCTAGCTTGAAGAACTTATCCTTCATGGTGATAACCTTGACAAAATGTAAGTATTATTATGGTTATTGCTTTGATCGCTATTATAAAAGATTGACTTTGCAACTTGTAATTCAGCACTCCACAGAAAATGCTGGTTTCGGCAAGAGATGTTCATTCACTATCTGATGAGCGATACTGCGCTCATAAGACTTATTTAATTTTAGTGCCGAATTTGTACTATTGATGCCAAGTAGCTGCAAATGAATTTACCCTTTGCTACTTTTTTG